ATATTGCAATAAATCAGAGTGTAGGAGTAGAAGATTGAATCAATTCAAGCATGCACACATTTATATCATATAAATGTCAAATACACCTTCAAAACACACAGATACGTCACCCTATTACAGACACAGACACCTGTTATTTATACCACACCCAACAGCACATGAGTGTACAACTACACATGTGTGTGCGGCCGCACACAAGGTGTACGGCCGCACACACGTGTTCGACCACACACAGCCATACAAAAGATACAATACACCATAACTACCCCCAAGACCCAAACAAGACAATTACAAGATAAATGCCTAGCCCAAACCACTATATTATGACCTATCACTTGTAAAAGGGTGTATGTTCCTTTCTGTTTCTTGTTATTGTATGTTTCTTTTTGTTCTTGTTATCATATGTTCCTTTCTGTTCTTGTTATTATATGTTTGAACTGACTCATGTATGAACTGACTCTTGTAAGTTTCATTGTTCTAGAAATAGTAAGTATTATTCTCCTAAACTATACCTATTATAGTTTACTAGTAAGCTCTGTAATTGAATGACTGTTCATGTTTGTACACCTTTGCTACCCAATGGTATTGAACTGATTTTAAGTATTTTTATATCTACATACATATACATAATATATAATTAAGATTTAAACGGCACTCAGACAAACAACCGATAACCTAAGTCCACAACCAAACAAGGAACAGGAAATAAAGCGAGTTATCAGTCCTAAGCCCTTTTAAACTTAATTATATAAATATATCTAAGTAGACATGATTTTGACAATATATAAGTTTAAAAGAGTTTTGTAAAATGATAAAGAGTTTTATTATATAAAAGAGTTTTAACCATTCGAATGGTTATTGATGACTTGATGTTAATTTATAAAATGATTTGAAATAGTTTGTTTGATAACACAGTTTGAAGTATAAGAAATCTCTTGTTTTGATAGTTATAAATCACATGTGATTGATTATACAACTATATGGTTTTCTACTTCTCCCCCCCATAAAGCATTTAAAATCATTTAAAAGATAAGTTAGGGGTATGAACTCACCTGTAGTGAGTGACTCGAATGGAAGATAGATATAGGATGCTTGAGATCACAAAAGGAGTCCCGAAGCACAATTTGATCCTATTAGACATATAATCACATATATAGGCATACAATTAGTGTATAACAACTAATCATGTATTGGAAACACCCTTAGTGACTAGGAATCACTCACAATGGAGTGTATTAATCACACATGATTGATTTAAGGGAATTCACGGCCACACCAAGTGTGTTTACGGCCAAAGGAAGGGTTTACGGCCAAAGATGCTTAAGTGTTTAAGGCCAAGGCATGAACTAAGTAGGGTTTACGGCCCTAACAAGATCACTTGAAGGGTTCACGACCATATGAAGGGTTTACGGTCGTGAACTCTTGAAGATGATGCTTATATGATGCTTAAAAGTTGTTTGTTTCATGGGGATTCAAGAGCTCCTAATAGATAATAAGAATATGGAAATGATACTTACTAAATGGAAGTCTTGAAGGAAAAGTGATGAATTCAAGGATGTGATTCATAGGTTTCATATGATCAAGAAGATTAACTACTAAAAATGGATGAATTACTTACGTTTTTGAAGAGAAATGATGGATTCCCTTGATGATACTTGAGAGAGTTTGAGTGTTCTTGATGAAAGAAGTGAGAAATGAGGAACTAATGAAGGAAATCTATACTTATGATGAGGGGTTCACGACCACCAAGAGTTTACGGCCGTAAACTCTAGTTTGGGTCGTAAACACCCTTGATGAATGTTCCTGGATCAATTAGAAAGTCATAGATTCGTTACTCACACATCCTAGCATCAAGTCCTAAGTGTACGAGGCTTAAAACTCATAGGATAATCCTTAGCACGGCTAAAAGGTAACAGCTACAAGTCTGACTTTGATTGAATGAAATGGTTTTACAAGATAGAAATTTCGGGTTGTCACAATATCATTGGTATTATAGATGTATAGAGTTCAGGAAAATTTGACCTTGAAGTAGGTCTATAACATACCAACACATGGAAAACTTTTGACAACATAAAGACCTAACGAAACTGAAAGTTCAAGGCCTAGATATAAACAGGGAAAATAATACTAGAGTCTAAAAGTAGACCTAATCTATATCCAAAAGAGTGAGTAGAGTATGCTCTACTCGCGAGGATTCTTATTCTGGTTGGTACTAGATTCTGCCCTCGACTCAACCGGCTGGTGTTCTATTTCCCACACACGCCTTTCCAATGCAACTTGACCCTGTCGAAGTTCTCTAACTTCGGATCGATTGGAATTCAGTTCCATCTGTAGTGCGTCAGTGTGAGTCCTGGTTAACTCATGGTCATCGGTCAGATGGCGGAGACGAACTGTGTTGACTCCTGAGTTAGCCCTAATTTCCATGACTTGGTCAATGGTTTCTCTTCCTTGCTCAGCATTGCGTGCAACACGACGAACCAAGATAGGAAGGACTCTGTCTGCTGAGCCTCCCTCGCTCAAGTTGTAGAAGCTTCGGTCTCCATTATAAGGAGGTGGTTGTCTCTGTTCGTGGCTCCACCTTCCCAAGTTTACTGCCCACAAAGGCGTCGGGCCTTGAAAATCCTATCGAGGGTTAGGATTTTGGGCAACTTGAGGTGGATTATAGACCTCGGGTTCTGAGTCAGAGTCTTCGTCTACTGGGAACACTGGGTTCTCTTCTTCTGGTTCTGCTTCGAGCCAGCCCCCGTTCCCTTGATTGGGAAAGTACAGGTCGCCAGGTAGATGGAATCCAGCCATTTTATCTAAGCAAGAAAAGGGATGTAAGAGACGTATAATAGATGTATTTCTAAAGATATTTATAGGATGATCCTTACCAGTTACTTCAATACTTACGTAGTGCATACCAGCTATATATAACCAAGATAGAATAGACCTTCGAATAAGTGATCCAACTCTAAGACCACAACCAAACAAGGAACAGGAAGTAAAGCGAAGATCGCAGATTCTAAGTGTATAGCATCTTAGTCACATATAACCTTAGCGCATCCACTCAGTAACTATTGACCTACTAGTAAGGGTCTTTTTAGTTTTCACATAAGTAATTATAGTACAACAAAATACTGCTATAGTATTTTAAATTTATGTTATGTTCTAGTGTTTCATTGTAGTAGAGTTGGTAAGTTTTAGACTTGTTGCAACACCACAACCATTCCTAGGCACATGCTAATCACTTCTCGGATAGATATAGTTGATCAGGATATATCAATCCCAGACCTGATTATATGTCCCCAAGCGTACTTGTGTTGTTCAACAATCGCAATACTTTTGTTCCGTTCTAGTATGCCACTGTTCTTGCTATGAATGCATGTATGTATACTTTAGTAAAATATTTTATTATTTAAAAAGTATAATCTCTTGGTCAGAGTGTTTTAATCCTGATGTGTTTATAGTTGTATATCGTTTATGGGTTGATATACTTAGTTCACTATAAACAATGCTCTGATACCAATCTGTCACACCCCCAAACCGAGATGGCGGAAACATTCGGGGGTGGAGGACGTCATGTACAGTATCATAACAATACACAATAGTAAAACAAGCAACAACATCCATTGCATTAATAGAATAGTTAATACATGTGTGTTCTGTATAGTTGTAAGACACCAAAAATGTAACATCAAAATATAAAAGACGAGTCTTGAACATGCTCCGTCTTCTCAAAACTTGAGCTAGCGTACCTGTCTACTGGTTCCTGAGAATACAAGTTATTTTGAAAGAGTATCAACATTTAAGTTGGTGAGTTCATAAGTATTTAGTGTCAAATGTTTGTAGTTGTATCATGAAAATGTTTGTATTTGTTTAGTGAAATGTTTTTATACTTCCCAGAAAATCCTATATTTTCTTCTAAAAATGAAAAGTAGTCTTCTACCCAAGACCCGACTGTTTTGTATGTTTGTTCTCTCGTAATAGTGTAAAATGTATGTTTGTACTTGAAATAGTAAAAACGTATGTTTTCTATATTTGTAAACCATCTGTACTAGAAAAATAGTATGCATTTCTCATATGAGAATATCACTGTATGAATGTAATGGAAAATGAAGGTTTACAGTAGAATTGTATAAAATACACTACTGATGTGTGTTGTGCAGATAAATTTATATAAGCAAATAAAAAAAAATAAGAGATTGTGATACCTAACTCAGATCATTGTATTTAAATTTTTTTGAACCGATCTTGTTGATAACTATTTGTATAGGATTGTTAATGTAAGTGTACATCAATGTATTTTATTAAATAAAAACTAATTTTTTTGGGCATACCTTATGTTAAAAAGTCGGGTGTAACACGTTTTCAAACCGTGGACACTATCTCACCACCACGATCTTTGCTCTTCGTGATGTTTACCAATGATTGCAAAATCACTGATTGCTATGAAATGATCCTTTCTATTTAAAGTAAATTTTAGACTTTTTCTTTATTTGTATAAACCTATCTCAACCCTCTCTTATATTATGAACCTTATTTTTGATGTAAAAGTGGTTTTTGAATATTAAAAAAAAAAAAAAAATTCAAATTCCTTTTTTTTTAATAAAAAATATGAATTTTACAACAGTATCCAATTTCACATATATATAAAACCAATTTTAGAATATATGAAGGATTGTTTTTGGCATACAGAACCAGTTTTATTACAAAATAATCATGTCATAAAATTAATCGTTATTTGTGAAAAAAAAATCAGATTATAACTATATATTATAAAATACCATTCCAAAAATAGATATTTTTTTCATTTTCGTTGTATAATTTTGAACTTTTAATCAATAAACGTATTTACACGATAGCCGCCAATGTGGAACTAATCTAAATACCCACTTGTGTCTCGGTCTGTCCCTAACGACTAAGGCTCGTTGGATCCCATTAATCTAATGCTATTCCAATATTACCCTCCAACTTTACGATAAGATCAAATCATCAAATTGTACTCCCCGCCTCAATGTATGTACATCGTCCCCACGATGTTCCGAGTATTGTTGCATCGGTGCTATTTCTTTTCTTTAATTTATTGCAATATTTAACAATAAAACTTTAACGTAATAACAGTATTAAAAATAAGATAATATTTTCCAATATCCTTAATCATTATATTTACGAATTATTGAATAAAGTTTGACTATTCTATTATGGTTGAATGAGATTGTTTTGGTATGTATATATACGTAGAGCTGTTTATGGCTTGATCACATTATTGAAGGAGATACACATTAAGCTTTTGAACTGTAGAGAGAAAATGGATAGCACGTTGGAGTCGATGAAGGACGGAGAGGCCACCGTTGGAGGCGGCGTTGAGGACGTCTACGGCGAAGATCGTGCCACCGAGGACCAACTCGTCACGCCTTGGACTGTTTCCGTCGCCAGGTATATCGCTGCTACAAGTATCGCTTACTTTAGTTTGTGCTACTGTTTGAGTTTAATTAGCTTCGAATGATTACGATCTTGTTTCGGATTTGGTTTTTCAAATATGATTGTTAATAGGAAGTAATTGGATGCATGTTTTTGAAGTTGTATAAGCTAAATCTGTACGGATAATCTGTCGATGTGTAGTATGCAACGGGCTTTCGGTCCGTTTGATCGGAGTTATTCGTTATGCTGAATTGACATTTGCGGATGACGATTGATAGATTTATGATTGTTCAATGTACTTTAAATGATGCTGATTACATGAAACGATTGTTTTTTTGTAGTGGATACACTTTGCTGAGGGATCCACGCCATAACAAGGGGCTTGCGTTCACCGAGAGGGAAAGAGATTCTCATTACTTACGCGGTCTATTGCCTCCGGCTGTTTCAACACAGGAGCTTCAGGTTTGCATTTGTCCCCAATATCTCTATAGACACTGAAGATCAATTTGGGTTAATTATGATATAGCTTACATGAGACCTGTATGATCCATCAGGAGAGGAAATTGATGCAAAGTATTCGCAATTATGAAGTTCCCCTGCACAAATATGTGGCTATGATGGAACTTGAGGTATCATTTGAAACTTTATTGACTTTTTTTTCCCCTTTGATTTCCTGTAATCAACGTTTTTTCACAAGTTCATAATATCATTCATCCTGGTTTCTGTTTATTCCAAATACTCATTCTACTATGGCTTATAGGAACGAAATGAGAGGCTGTTCTACAAGCTTCTTATTGACAATGTAGAAGAACTTCTCCCTGTTGTATACACTCCTACAGTTGGTGAAGCCTGCCAGAAATATGGGAGTATTTTCAAGCGCCCTCAGGGTCTATACATTAGCATGAAAGAGAAGTACACCTCTCACATTAGCCTGATTTTACTTAAATTACTTTAAATTAGCATGACGTGACAATGAAATAACTCAAATTCACAGGGGAAAGATTCTTGAGGTACTCAAGAACTGGCCTGAGAGGAGTATTCAAGTTATTGTGGTGACAGATGGAGAACGTATCTTGGGACTTGGAGATCTTGGATGCCAGGTAAAACATAAGCTAATTTTTCTTTCCTTCATGATTATTTTCATCAATGTCATTATAGTTTTTTTTCAGATGAAACAATGTTGTATTCTAAAAAACTATTTAAATTTGTACAGGGTATGGGAATTCCAGTTGGGAAACTTGCTTTATATACTGCACTTGGAGGAGTTAGGCCTTCTGCAGTAAGTTGTTTGTGTACTTACTTTTCTACTTATTTTATTAGGTAGATAATAAACTACTAAACACTTTAAATTCCAAATTTAATTATGCCCATTACGTTTTCCATGTAGTGTTTGCCAATAACCATTGATGTGGGGACGAATAACCAAAAGCTACTTGATGATGAATTCTATATTGGTCTTAAACAAAAGAGGACCACTGGAAAGGTACATTAAAGTTGTGTACATTTATTGTAACTCAATCATGTCCTTTATTTAATATAAATACAAGTTTTGACTTTTTAATTTTTTGTTTCTGCAGGAATATTATGAGTTACTTGAAGAGTTCATGTCTGCAGTCAAGCAGAACTATGGTGAAAAAGTTCTTGTACAGGTAAATAATCCATGTGGGCTTCTAAAAGTCACATAAAACTGTAAGTTTTTATAAACCATAAATGCATCTTTTCATGTAAAAACTTATTTGGGTACTGTTTAAAATTTTCAGTTTGAAGACTTTGCAAACCACAATGCATTTGAGCTGTTAGCCAAATATAGAAACACTCATTTGGTGTTCAATGATGACATACAGGTATTGATTATTATGATTACCTTTACTATTATTATTATTATAATTATGATTATTAACTTTGAATCTTTTGTTACAGGGGACTGCATCTGTGGTTCTTGCTGGTCTTGTTGCATCACTGAAATTACTTGGTGGTAGCTTGGCTGATCACACATTCTTGTTCCTTGGTGCTGGAGAAGTAAGCATGTCTATTTTTGTCAATTGTGCGCAAAACTCTTACCTTTTACATTAAAAGTTTTAATTTTTATATACATAAGTCACATAAATTATCTCCTTACTTTAATATACTGAATATTGCATTTATCTTTGTATTTCAGGCGGGAACTGGTATAGCTGAGCTTATAGCTCTTGAGATATCAACAAAGGTACCAACTTTATGCTTAAGCATAATAATAAACATAAATATAATAAGTTTTTTCTTTTCTTATTGTTTTTTTATTGTTTATAGACAAATATTCCTGTGGAAGAGACTCGAAAGAAGATATGGCTTGTGGATTCTAAGGGGTTGATTGTTAGTTCTCGTAAAGAATCCCTTCAACATTTCAAGCAACCATGGGCTCATGAACATGAACCTCTTACTACTCTTTTGGATGCTGTTAAGGTGGGACAATTTTTTATGTTTTTTTCCTTTCAATTATCAACTTTTTGATTAGTTTTTTCTAAAAATTAGTTTTATTTCCACTTATTTGTCAGGCCATCAAGCCATCTGTCCTGATAGGAACATCAGGGGTAGGACAGACATTTACAAAAGATGTGATTGAAGCCTTGGCAGCTGTCAATGAGGTTCTCTCTCTCTCTCTCTCTCATACACACACACACATACAACAAGACATGAGAGACCATGTTATACTGTGGTTGGGGTGCATTCAGTGATGGGATAAAAGTTGAATTTTTTTGTCCAATCCAAAAAGGTGGGACACTTGCTATCTCGTCTGTGCAAAAAGACAAGAATGCCCTCATGATTGAAAATAACGGTAGCTAGAAAGATCGTACAATAGTAAAGTAATGAAAATACTAATAATTATTGTATGCAGAGACCTCTTATTATGGCTCTATCGAATCCAACCTCACAAGCAGAGTGCACAGCTGAACAAGCTTACACATGGACCAAGGGCAAAGCAATATTTTCAAGTGGCAGTCCTTTTGATCCTTATGAGTACGATGGCAAACTCTTCATTCCTGGCCAGGCAAACAATGCTTACATTTTCCCTGGATTAGGGTTTGGGTTGGTCATCTCTGGCGCAATTCGTGTTCATGATGAGATGCTTTTAGCAGCATGTAAGTATACCAATTTTAGTTATTGTCGCAAATTTCACATTATTATTTATTCTCATTGTTGTAAAATCATTAGCGGAAGCATTGGCTAATCAAGTAACGCAAGAGCACTATGATAAAGGGATGATTTATCCTCCACTTACTAACATCAGAAAGATTTCCGCTAATATTGCTGCCAAAGTTGCTGAGAAAGCATATGACCTTGGTATGTCCTGTTTCTTACTTTGAAGTTTAAATTATAAATAATAATAGTAAATATCATGTTCTTACTTTAATTAATTGGGTGAATGATATTTCAGGTTTGGCAACGCGTCTTCCCCGCCCCACGGATTTATTGAAGTATGCTGAGAGTTGCATGTACACACCCAACTACCGCAGCTACAGATAAATGATTAGCTAATAACTTGTGTTTGGTTATCATCCTGTATTTGTGTTCCCTTTATGTATGTTGTAATTTTTCTCTTGTTTTGTAAGTGATTTGGTAAGGGTTTTCGGACATGGTTGTTTGTGGTGTGAATGTTGTTATATAATTACAAAAGGTAAAGATGAATAAAGAAAAGGCCTCATTAGCCTAATACTACGAATCAAAAATTATAAAGCTATGATGAATACCACTGGAGATTGCCTTGCTCTCTTCTATTACATGGTGATGATCCGAAACCCTTAGGTTGCATTTGGTTGTGGAAAACAGTTTTTAGAGTAAATTACATGAATCGTTCCTCGTGCAGGTGTTAAAATACACGTCAAATCTCTATTTTCAAAAATTAACTCGGACCGTCCCTCGTTACTTTAAAACTTATATGCTTCATCCCTCGAGACATAAAAAGACAATTTTACCCTTATTTATTTCTTTTTTGATTTATTTTTTATTTACTAATAATTTACTCATTTGTTTATTATGAAAATAATTATTTATTTCCTTTTATCAAAGATATTAAATAAAGATCCTTAAACCCTAAGCACGCCGTCCTCTTCCACCATTTCTTCTTCGGTCATCTCCACCTCCACCCAGTATCATCGCCGGCTTCTACGACTTTAGGACATCTCCGCCTCTTCAGCCACTTTAGCAATGCTATCAAATCATTACCCACCACAACTCAACCCACCCTCCCTCTTCCATTTCACTTTTTCCTTCCGTCCTCATCGAAATCAGGTCATCGAACCAGGTACAAGTCCATCACGCGAGATCGGATAAGAGGGACATTGAGATCGGAGAAGCAGGTCGGATCGAACCCAAATCGTCTCCATTGACAATCCTCCTCTGCGATAACACAATGATGCGAACCCTAGATGATGCGACGATGGCAGCGCGCCGGTGACGATGGCGACTCACAGTTGGCGATAGTGGTTCACCGATCGAACGAAGTGCAGACTTACAACCCCCTCTTGCCATCTCCGTCTGTAATGAATCAGATTTGCAGGTTCAGTGAATCAGGTTTGCTTTCAATTTAAGAACCCTAAATCGTTTTCTTTCAATTAGTTTTGTATCAAATCAGATTTTCCATCTCCCTGACTCTTACTTCCTAATTTACCCTGATTATTCTTTCCTGTTTTGCATGTGGTTTTTCCGATGGAGGATGGTGGTGGTGTTAACAGTAAATGTGCCTGGTTCGATGGTGGGTTAAGTATATGTTGTTGGTTTGGTGAATGAGGTGGTGGTTTGTAGTTATTTTTAGTGAAACATGTTAACATCAACGAAGGAGTGGGTTGGGTGAAATGAGGGGTAGCGGTGGTGGTACATGTTCCGGTGAGAAGTGGTGGTGGTGCTCCATTTTCTTGTGGTGGCGTAGATTACCGGTGGTGGTGGTGGTCAGTTCTTATTCCACAAAATAGAAAAATAACTAAAATAATTTTTAGTAATTAAAAATAATCGGGGCAAATAATTAAAATAATTTTAATAATTAAAAATGTTTAAAATAAATGAAAAAGAAAAGAAAAGGGTATTATAGTCTTTTTATGTATCAAAAGGGATGAAACGTGCAAATTTAAACTAACGAGGGATGTACCGTGCAACTTTTAACAATACGAGGGACAATCCGAGTTAATTTTTGAAAATAGGGACTAAACGTGCATTTTGACACCTGCATGAGGGACGGTTCGTGTAATTTACTCCAGTTTTTAATTTTCTTGGAAAAGTTTTTCGAAATGGGAAAGGAGTTCTCCTTTTCAGTTTTCATTTGAAAATTCAAAAAATGTGTTTTGTTAAAACTTTTTTTTTCCATTTTTCATTTTAGAAATTAGAAAACATGTTTGGTTATGTATTTCAGTTTATAGTTTATTTAGTTTATTGTTATTTCAAATAAGGGAGGGGTTTGGGTAGGTAGGGTGGGGTGAGTAGTGGTTGATAAGCATGAATGGGTGGGGGATAGGGTATGTGTGGGGTATGAGATGTGAATGGTGTTTGGGTGAGGGTGTGGGTGTGGGTGTTTATATATCTTTTAGAAAACTCTTGGAAATGGAAAAGTGTAGCAGACAATAATTATCAGTTTTCCTAGTTCTTTGTAATTTTTGAAAACAGAAAATATTTGTTTTTCAAGAAAAAATTGGAAAAGTTATCTAACCAAATGCATTTTCAAAATTTTCATTTTTCTTGAAATTTATTTATGAAAACCTAGAAAAATTTTCACAACCAAACAACAACCTTAATCTCGTATGGAAAGATTTCCTGCAAAATGCAACCTTTCTATTGACTAAGGATAGAAGCAAGCTACAAGCATTAGCAACCGCTTTCGTTTAATCTTTATAAGTGTTGCTTTAGCAATGTATACAAACATGTACTTTCCTTATTTAATGCAACATTTTCTGCTATATGTTGCATGCACAATGAACAAACATAAACATATAAACGAACGAATTTTCTTGTTCATGTACATTCACTTAACAACATACATTGATCATGTTTATTCGTTTATGTTCGTTAAAATATAAACATGCATAAGCGAACAAACATAAATGATTTTAAATAAACGAACATAAATGAGCATAAATATCCAAATCAAGAACAACAAAATATGATCATCAACTTTTCTAATATGTTGATTAAACTTAACATTTACCAAAATCTAGAAGTATAACTTGAACAGTCTTTAAAGCTCCATTGTCACTCTCCCTAGTTGTATGAGATTATATAATATAATAACCAAACATAAACAAATGTTCACGGACATAAATGAGCAAACGAGCCCGTTGTTCGTGTTTATTTGTTTAACTAAACAAACATTTTTTTATTCATGTCCGTTCATTTATTAAATGAACGAACATAAACGAACTTCATGTCGAATGGTTCATGAATGGTCTGTCAAACATTAAGTTCATTTACAACCTTAGTTATGAAGTCACACTACTATATAGGAAGGTTTCAATATTATTAGGAGGTTTTTGAGTGTTATTAGAACTCTCCTCGTAAAACTATAAATAAATTCATTAGGATGTTATTTTCCGTTCATTGTCAAGATTTTCTCTCCTTTTCCATTGGCGATTTCAACCTCTTGTACTTTCCTCCTTTCACATTGTTGATTTTTTTTTGTGTTCCAAGTACCCATCCACTTCGCCAAGTGGGTGGTATCCGAGCCATTCATCCTAAAGCCTAGATACATATACTTAACTCTCATACTTGTTGGATACAAAGTTCTACATGTATGATGACAAGGAGCCTCTTTATGACTTATGTGGGTTATTTACTTGACTTGTATATTTTGCCTATAAATAGGCTTGTAGCACTCTTTGTGTGAGTGTGTGACATGATCTAGTCCTTTTTGTGAGTTGAGATGCATTAGATAGAGTAGATAGATTGCAATTTACTTTTTGTAATTTCATCAATATTAGTTGATTACAAGATCGTGTTCACCAAATCATATCGTATCGATTGTGTGGTGATCATTTTCGCATGTCAAATCCGGGTTTATTGTCTCAAAAATTGGTATCAGAACGGGTGTTTGAAGATCTAGATGATTATTTCGAGTATGTTCAACATTTGACAAATTCTTCACAATTCGATGGTATGAATTTCAAAATCTAATGGAATCATGTTCTTAATGCATGTTACTGTTCATCATTTTATCTGTTGGATCTCTGATATCTAGCCCAAAGCCCAATCTACTCAAAATTATTTGATTTACTATCATAACATTTGATCCAACCCACTTTATTGATTCATTACTGTTCATACACCTTTTTGAGCCCAAATCGATTTTGATCAATCAATTTGATATCTCTCAATCGCATAATACAGTTACTTCGTTTGACTGATTTCGTTTCATCTCATATTTTTTAGAGCATATTTGGGATTTTATTTTGAAGTTAAAAAGAACTTTTTATCTAAAAGGACTTATTGACTTATGAAGGTATATGTGTTTTTTTTAAATGTTTGGATTAGCTTTTTAGTGGCAAAAATCAATAAGTCAATAAGTTAAAAAATATTTGACTTAAAATTGTTTTTGTTTGCTTTTTAATCCTAATAAGTTATAAGTCATTTCAAAAAGTCACAAACTGTTACTTCTTAAAAACTCATTTTCAAATAGTAAACGAAAAGTTGTTTTAAAAGTCCTTATTAGTTATCCAAACACTATCTATCTATGTTATCTATTTGGGATTTTCTATATATGTTTATTCTGCAGCAAGGTTGCATTGTAACACACACACACACACACACACACACACACACACAT